ACTACTACTTCACCATTTTCTCTCTCCTCTACCACAATCTTCCTTCCACTCCCTTATTCTCTTCACTATTTCAATTCCAATTCCAATTGTTTATGGCATGAGGAGGTTCTATACGGGCGCCCTTTGCAGTCCACTTAGATTATTGAGATTCATTCTCCTCAAAATGGTATTTTATAATATATATATATATATATAGTTGAAACTTAAATATTTTAATAAAAAATAAAATAATATATTTTAGAAATTAAATTTATTGTCACATTAAGAATTTAGTCAAACTAGCCGTTGTAAATTAATTGTCCTATTTAAAGGCACATTATTTCATAATAATTACCCAATTTATTCTTATCATTAACCTACAAATGAGAGTTATAAGACCATGAGTTCTATAAATAGGACATGTCATTTTGCTCAATAAAGAGGTTCCTCCACATTCCTCTATTCTTTCTAACCTTACTTTATTTTCTAAATATTTTTGGGTAAAGAAAAGTGTTCTGAGTAAGGTGACTCTATAGGTAGTGCAGATCCATAGAGTGTTATTATAAAGCTGTAGCATCTTGGGGGCAACATACTTTATGTATCTCTGTTACACCGGTTGATCTACTCTCTGCAGAGGCATGAATCACCTTAAAATATGTAAGCTTTTTACGCCTATTTCGATGATATTTTCTTATCAATATTTTTTGATAAGTTCATTAATTATTATTTTATTTGATCTTGTAACTGAGGCACAATAATGATATGATGTGGAGATGGAGGAGAGTGTTTGAGGAATAACAATTTTAAGGCGATTCAATATGCAAAGCAAAAGTAAAATATATGAGGTCTTGTGTAAGCATAATAGAAATTTTTGATTTTTCTTGATATATGTGCACCAAACAAGTATGAGTTTCTAACCCTTCTGCAATATCTGATGCTTTATCTAATTAGTTAATCACTATCCAATATTTCAATTGTATACTAGAAATGATGGAAACTTGGAATGATTACTTATGGGTTCATGATTTTTCTTGGGTTAAACACACGAAGGTATTTGGTCATTGTATAGCTTGCCTAAAACATAAAGCATAAACATGCATAATTCTTGTGAAACTCAACAGCCTTCTATGTGCAATTCTTAGGAAAAATTAGCATTTCATGTTATTAGCATTTCATGTTATTAGCAGTTGGTATTAAATACATATTAAGTTTGTGCTACTTAATTAATAAATTAATGGTGCATTTTGGCCATTACTAGTGCTATAATGGCTATATTTATAAGAATTATTAGCTGGCCATTTGCTCTTAATGCATGCATATAAATTTGGGGGGTTTTGTCAACAATGAGTATATCACACCAGCTGTTTGAATAAAATGTGATTGTGGAGCAAATATATTAATATGATATATTTGGGATATAAAGGCTTTATAAATTTGAGGATGCTTTCTTATTTTTGCTGTTTAATTAGAAATGCTCATGTAAGCATGTATGATCTATTATAATTATTTTGTTATTAATATACACCATTGATATATAATAAATTGATGATTACAATTTTTAATGGTTAAAAAAATGATGAATAAATATATGCATTTAATTGACTATTTTATTGAGTTTTTTTATGAAATAGGTGAAACTTTGAGAACTCAAGTGAAAAGCTACTTGAGTTGGTCCATGTAATTATTTTGGTAAAAATGGACATGATATTTGGGTTGATATATTCCAAAAACGTTCATTTGTGCCAATAAAATGTGAGATGAGCTAATAAGCTCTTATGAAAATCTTGTGAGAAAATGAGTTTCTTCATGAACTCAATTATTTTAGGAATGTGAGAATCACATATTTGAGATGCTCCTAATGTGGGGGATTGTGATGTCCCTATGTATTATTATTGGTGATGAGACCAATGATGCATAATTGAGATTTTGCATAGCATTCCTATTATATAATAAGGTATAATGGTGCTTGACAAAGCAAATGTGATATGCACTCCTATTATACAATAAAGTATAATGGTGCTTAACAAAATAAATGTGATATGCATTCCTATTACATAAGTATGGTATAATGGTGTATGATGAAAAAAAAATAAGAAGGCATTTGAGAAAAGGGGTATGTGATGGAATTTCCTATTGTACAACAAGGTACAATGGTGTTTGAGTTAAAAACAAATTCTTAAATACATGTCTCTACATGTATGAAAAGGAAAGAGGTGGTTCACTAGCTTGATTTGATATCAAAATTGTGGTACTATGAATTAAGAATTTGAGAAAAATGAATGTGAATTTATGAGCTAGTAGATGTGTGGGTTGATGTGAAAAAGTGTGAAAAAAGAATAAGTTAATTCTCTTCATTACCCACTATACCACCAACTAAGCCTTTGGCAAAAACAAAAGTTGGAGGAAAATCTATGATCATAGTCCAAGGTTTAGTGCTCATTGAGGGGAACGGGATTCAAACCCAATAATGTAGAACTTCTTATGAGGATACTGTTAGGTTCTCTTTATATTTTGATGATGATTTAAAACTATGATTCAAAAGAGTTTAATCTATTTTTGTGCTAAGTGTGCAGGAAAATTAATCCAAGGATTCTAATCTTTCGCCACGATTAGAATTAATTCATGTTCCCCTTGTTCATAGTTCTGGGTTCAAATCAATTTAATTTGATTCGAACCAATCCCGAACTTCTATTTTTCAAAAATGGTTCGAACCGTTATTTCTGGCTTCAAAGCAAAAAATTCTAGAAGGTTAAATTTTGACAGCTCATCTATCCGTTTATTCTTATTCTTAATGGACCTTGGGGGAACCATTGTCTGAGCACTTTCCAAAGTCAAGTCAAAGTTAGTAGAAATAGGTGGAACCTAATTGGGGCAATTGTGAGGTGGCTTTGAAAGGCTAAATGGGCTTTAATTGCAAGGCTCCTAACCAACTACTAAAAAGACATCAAAAATCAGATCTGGAAATGAATGAGAGAAGAACGAATTGCTCCAGTGATACAGAAAACAGAGTTTGAGTTTGAAACTATTCTGGATCTTCTTCTTCTTCTTGTAAGCTTTTGGGTTAATTGCAAGGTAGTATGTACCGTTTCGTACCGGCCGTACCGGTTTTAAGGCTTAGCCGAAACGGAATAAGTTAAAATTTCGTTTCGGTCAAATTTCAGCCGTACCGGTCAAATTTCGGCCGTACCGGCCGAAATTTCGGGTACCGGCCGGTACACCGAAATTGGATCGGTACATTTGCAAGAAGGAAAAAAAAAAAAAAAAAGAATCCTCAGCCAAAACGACGTCGTTTTGGCTGGGGGCACCTTCTTCATGACTTAAGTTAACCCTGCAATTTTCTCGCGTGCCTCTCTGATTTTCTCGAGCAGCCGTTCGTCTCCAGGTTCAACCTCCAGCCATTGCTAACGCTGCACTTTCAGATCGCGCCTCTCCTTTGTTCTCCAGCATCCATCGTTGAGGCTTGAGCTCCATTCCTCGCAGGTGGTCCAGACTCCAGCCACTCCAGCCGCTGCCGGCGGTCCAGATCTAGCCAGTACTCTCTCTTCCTCCACTCTCCAGCAGCCCAGCTCCATCTCAGGTATCTTCACATTTTCATTCCGAGTTTACTCTTTCTGTTGGTATTGGTATGCATAGTTGCATCCTGCTGCTGGTTACATAGTCCCCTGCCGGCCCTGCCCGTGTATAAAAAAAAAAAAAAATTCAAATCATGTCCATGTCGAAGTGGAACTCCTCAGTCCTAGTATAAAATAGAAATGCAGGTGTCTTGGACGGTTGGACCTCTTGGTATTTAGGCATAGTCCCCTGCCCGTG